CATCTTTATGATGTTGTGAACTCCCCTGGTGTCACAGCTGATCTCAGTCACATGGACACTGATGCCAAGGCCGCCTTGTAAATTTTAGTGGCCCTATGCCATAACAATAAAATAGGCCTTTTAAAACTAAAATATTATTTAATGTGGGCGTTGGACTTGAAAATTCTTGGGTCAAACATCCTAAATACACATATATATACAAAAGACTTAAAATTTTTTGGAGGTTTTACAAAAATTGGGCCCTGTGCGGTTGGGTAGCCCGCACAGGCCCAAAACCGGCCCTGACTGGTGCAGTGGTAAAAGTTTAAGATTTCATAAGCTATACTTTGAATGAAGAGTGAATTGTTATGTCGATTCAAAAACGTAATATTTTAGATTTCAGGTACGTGGTTTCCTGGGGCAACCACAGCTTGAGAGTGCATTGACCGGCATGGGACCTTGTGCTCATACCTGCTGGTGTTCCAAGGAAGCCTGGAATGACAAGGGATGACCTTTCAACATCAATGCTGGAATTGTCAAGACACTTTGTGAAGGAGTTGCAAAGTGCTGCCCAAAGGCAATTGTTAACCTGATCAGCTATCCGGTGAATTCTACCGTTCCAATTGCAGCAGAGGTCTTTAAGAAGGCCAGTACTTATACCCGAAACGACTTTTGGGAGTTACAACTATTGCTGTTGTCAGAGCTAACACTTTATATGCGACCTTTTTATTACAGTCCTCAAATTTTCTAATAGAACACCAAGAAATTTGCAGCATTTCTGGTTTTTACTCCTTATATGCGATTTTTCTCGAGTTTCCTGACAGGCGGAAGTTTTGGGACTTGATCCTAGACCCGAAACGACTTTTGGGAGTTACACTATTGCTGTTGTCAGAGCTAACACTTTTATATGCGACCTTTTTATACAGTCCTCAAATTTTCTAATAGAACACCAAGAAATTTGCAGCATTTCTGTTTTTACTCCTTATATGCGATTTTTCTCGAGTTTCCTGACAGGCGGAAGTTTTGGGACTTGATCCTAGAGAAGTTATGTCCCTGTTGTTGGAGGTCATGCAGGAGTGACAAGTTTGCCTCTTTTGTCACAGGTCTTCAATAGTATCTATAAACTTAACATGTTTTTCAGGTCTGATAATCAATCATCATTAAATTTACTGGATTTAAATCTTTGCAGGTCAAACCTCCATGCAGCTTCACCCCCCGAAGAAACGGACTACCTAACAATTCGCATTCAAAACGGTGGGACAGAAGTTGTTGAGGTATAATATGTTCTTTCTAACGTGGGACAGAAGTTTGAGGTATAATGTTCTTGTTCTTTCTGACAGAGATTGCAGAATCAATAAATGAAATATACAGACAGTAGAAGTTAGAACATCCTTCGACATTTCGTAGCTGTCTCCCATGTACTTACCTCTATTGTTTCAGAGAAAGGAAAAAGCGGTTTAAGTTCAAACCGCGGACTAGCTCCCCGCTGTTAATACTAAGTCAAATACTATGATTTCATATGACTATCTGTATGCTTTGAGGTTTCTTGTTAAATGCATAGATAGAGGCTAGTAACTAAGACAGTATTATTGTTGTTATGGGAGATTCATTTAAAGAAGATGCATATTATTCTCACGGGATGTATACTGATATGTATCACAGCTCAAATTTTAAGTTTCATTTGTTCACTTATGGGCAAAAGCTGGTGCTGGATCTGCTACCCTGTCAATGGTTGACCTTTGTATCTTCAGTTCATTTTGCACCAGATTTTCTTCACATTTTTCTTCACCATCTTGATTGCAGGTTACCGAATTTCCTTTCTTTGCAACAAAGGTACGACTTGGTCGTGCCGGAGCTGAGGAATCTTTCAGCTGGGACCTCTAAACGAATATAAGAGGTATGTATAATGTGAAATATTGATAACTTCAGGTAGAAATAGTTGCAGATTACTCGAATCGATTTCTGTTTGATTGTTAACAGGGCTGGTTTGGAGAAAGCAAGGAAGAGATAGCTGGAAGCATTCAAAAGGGTGTTGCTTCATCAACAAATGAACTTGGTGCTCTGCTCAGCGGGTGGTTTAATAAATAAGCTTCTTTAATTTGTTAAAAGGGCTTTGTATATGTTGTGCTAATTCAAAGAATCTCCATCGATCAAGATCGAGACATAAATACAAACTATGTGTTCATTGTCTGGTTAATGTAGTCATCTCGTATTCCAGAATATAGTCATTGCAGCTCTGTTAGTACCACAATTTCTACAAAAACCATCCATATTCAGAGACCAGATATATACTCAATGGGATAATGGCAGTGACAAAACCGTGTTTTAACTTCATATATAAAGGTATTAATGGGAACATCTCTCAAACTATCAGCTTTTTCTGAGAGGAAAAACAGAAAAGGTTAATCGATTCTTCTGTCTTTAGCAATTTACAAGGTGAATGGAATCGGAGGAGGGTAAACAACAGGAGTGGTTGACATTCATGTTCCCAGTCAGCACATTCGTGCGATTGTATCCTCGATAACAACAGGGTCAACCTGGACTATTCTCTCCGTATAACTTCTCACCGTCGACCTTAGCGAGTACCTCAAAGTGCATTCACTGTCTCAGGCTTTGTTCTCCACTCAGGAAACCCCTCCAAACTAAACCCTCTCCTTCTTTCAGCTTCTTCTCGATCCCAAAACCGAGCTTCACAAATATTTGAGCCGACACATCAGCCTTGAGTAACTTAAGTGACCTTTCTGTTTGCCTTTGGACCCAACACGGATGATAGCAGTCTCTCGAACCGACCAAATTGACATCGGAACCATTGACAGAAGCAAGAGGCCACATTGTCGCGAAGTGCTTTGGGGTTATAACTACTGGGCTTCTCCTTGTATATCAATAGTGGAAAGTGCATCCATGGTCTTAGTTTTGGACATTGAAGATAGTTCCACAAGGCCAGGTGCAAGTCGCTTAAGCTTCAACTTGTTACTTGAAGTCGTAGACAACGGGACGGTAAGGAAGTCGGGCCAACGATGCGAAGAGAAAGGACGGGAGCGTCTTGATTGCGAGAAGCATGACGAAGATGCTCCGCAAGGGCCATAAGGCCGGATGCAAATCCATTATTGGTTGTGTTAAGAGGTAGAGGATCGACGGAATGGCGCAGGCTAACCGATCTTGCTCCCTTGCGGTCACCACGGCACCACATCAGCTAAAACCTTCTTCAGGACACCGGCATCCACATCGTGCTACAGGATCAAACCATCAACAAGATTTAATAAATAGACTTCAAACGATAGTTTGCAAGACATTTAATTTCAAAAGCAAACAAAACAAAATTCCACAAGTATGAAACCACGAATTCTAGGGATTCCTAAATACTAATTCCCAAATCGAACTTCAAAGAAAGAAGAATTTTTTTGTTTTAAAAAAAAAAAAACTCACCGGTATCGAGATTCGCATATCTTTGGCGTCCTGAATCCAGAGTTCCATGGGTCCAGCCAGTTGAAACGGGGCCAAAACGGGTAACCCATCGTCCGAAATACTCTTCTCTACCAACCCATTTTCAATTCCCGGTTCTTCCACCCTAAAAATGGCAAATCAAACGTATTCCCAACGATTTACATCCTCCAAAAGCTTAAAGGAATCACTTTATCATCGATTTCGATGTCGAATTCATATGCCACCGAATGGCCCACAAGGGCATCACTCAGATCGAACCCAGAAATCTTAAAATCATCGGCCTGGAATCCCAATCCCTTCACAACCACTTCTTTCAAATCCTAAAAAAACCCAGTAACAACCCACCAAATTCATATTGAATCACCACCAAAAAAAACCAATGAATAGAACAGATAATAAAAAAAACTTACAGAGATGGCCTTTGGGGAGAAGAAACCAAGGTGGGAAGAGGATATAATCGTAAATAAAACGAAAGCCAATGGTAGAATGCAAGAATTGAACCGAGGACCCTCATCGTCGTCCGTTCACCGCAAAAACACTCCGTAACGGCACAGAGAGAATCGAATTCGGAGGTGAAGGGCGGAAGAATTATTTGATACTACAATTTTAATTCTCCTTCGGATTCAAGTTTTTTAATATTTTATAGATGACGTGGGATGTAGGGTGGTGACGTGGCGCGAACTAACCAATTAGAAGTGAGTAACTGATTCGAAACACGATTGTGATTGGTTTGGGATTCCTCAGCGTTGGGCCCCACTTCCGTGTTCCGCGGGTGATCAACGAAAAAGGGCAAAGATAAGGGCACTGACTACGTCGTTTCATCGATCATGAAAGGTTAAGAAATTCCCGAAGGTAGTGGTAGGGTTCTAATTGCTTCTCATATCTTATGCTTAGGGACGATAATATTTTTTAATCACCGAAAATGAATACTCAATTATTCTTTTCACCGATTTTAAATCTTAATCTATAAAGACAATAATGATTCATTTAACTACGAGATAATTTGATTTATTCAATTCGGTTCCTATTTTTAAAGGCAACTGCACAATATTTACCATTTTTTTTATTTTCTTCTGCTTTTACAGATTTGGGATTTTCCCGGACCACAAACATTACCAGAAAAACACACATGGCAATGGTTTATTCAAGCATCACAACGACTCTACTTCGTTAATGCTTTTCAAACTATTACAGCAAGGAAGAGGCCCAAGATTCCTCTAAAACACTCCAACAAAGGCCACTTTGTCTACTCTAAAGCGAGAAGGAATTAACATGGCCGAACAGTAGGGGACCATGCAAAAAAAAAGTTTGACTGAAAGCAACCCTCCTGCAAAAATCAACTAACAGTAGCTTGATGATGATGGTGGTGGTGGTGGTGGTATTCGATGGCGGAGCATTAAAATCCCTTTGTTTTTCCAGATATTATTATTTAGTTTTTAAAAGCTTATTATAATTATATATAGTTATGATAGTTGAATGGAGATTGTTCGTTCACATGAGCCATTCAAAAGCTGCACGAAGCTTATCACCAGATCCTTTCCTGTCATACAGAATTCTTTATCCATCTGCCACGGGAAAAACAAAAGGAGATTACAGTACATGAAATAATGATTTGCCATTGTTTCAGACAGATTGTTTTAAGTACCTGAGCGACAATGGTTATGTCGAGAGCACAACTCCCAAATGTCATGGCATTGCTGTTAATGACTGTTAGGTGAGATTTCTCGATTTCAGACATGATTTTCTCGACAAGTCCTTTTCTTTCTCACAGTGGATTCTTATGAGGACACTTTTGTCGCAAAACCTTGCTTCGATCTCCGGAAGTGGCTCTTCGAAGGGACCACTCGACTTCTTGTCCGACCAAAAGTCGTCAATACCGGCGGGAGTTGGGATTTCTTCACGAAACTACCGACTCCATTGATTTCTTTCTGGTCTGCTCCTCCAGCGTCTTCACTTTCTCCTGCATTGCTTCAGGTACTTTATGGCATCTCCAAGCACCGATGCCTTGTCCATCTGCTCATCCCATTGCACTATTATACAAAACAATCACACCGTATACATACCTACATCTATACGTGTATGTATTTGTACCTTTTTTAAGCCAGGCACCATGGAAGACAAAGCTATGAACCTTTGGCTGAGCTTTTCTCGGCGTTTCCTTTCGGCCATGATATGATCATGTGTCTGGGAAATTCTCTTAGATCCATGGCAACCCTTAAGCAAATAGTTATGGTTTTGAGGAAACGAGGGCTCCATGTTCATAGAACAAGCAGCCTCATCTCTAGGCTTCAAAATCCCCATTGGATTCATGTGTTGGAACAGGCAAAAGCAGCAGCTTCGAGGTTTGGTAAATCAGCCGCATGATCAGCTTTGCAAGGATTCCAGCAGTTGGTTTTAAGCACTTTTTGAGGCCTGTCAACGGCGGCCGCCGGATAATCATTAGAGAAGCTTCGTCTCCAAAAGCAGGGGAGAAGCTGAGCGCATCGAGAGAGTTGACATGCCATTGACTGAACAAGTAAGGATTCTCCATTTCCTGTGGATTACAATAAACAGATGAATAACGCATAAGAAGAAGATGAGCACAAAAGACTTACAAATTCAGGTAACTGGCGAACCGATGAAAACAGCAAACCAGGAACTGGGCTGAACTGAACCAGCTTTCTTCCAACTTTCAGAAAGTTTGTCTGTTTATACAAGTCCAGTCGTATCACGGGTAGTTGTTCATGTGAAATACTCCATTGAAATACACTAAATGACAACAAAACAGCTTTTCGTATATACGTTGTGGTGGGTCGTGTTTGCTGACAAACGGGCTTGCTTATAAACAATTTCTTCATTTTCCATTTTTGTTGTTTTGCAGACTTTTTAATGAGCATCTTCAACCAGTAGGTTGTAAGATTTGATTCAGCTGAAATATCCCCCAATCATCCAAGGAGGGAAACAATGTGTTTGACAAGGCGATGCACGTATGAACAAGGAATACATGTGCTTAATTGTTATTGGTCCAGCAACGAGTGTTGACTTGCTCAGCCAATCAGTGACGAGAGGTGTCGGACAGTGGTGCAGTCGATGAAGATACTTGCTCCCCACACCGGCATTTTAAAGGTGTCGGCTAATGAAGGGCAAATGAATGATGAAGCTTCTAAACTATATGTTACATTATGGCTTAAACCAAAACAAGTCCATAAATTGTGTCTTTTCTTTACTTTTAGTCCCTACACTATTAGTTTGATCATTTTGACGTACGAAACAAATAGAATCTTCTTTTCGTTGCACAATCATTTGGGGATAAAGTCCAGCAACGTCATCTCTCAAAACGCGTTAACATGTTTCCTTATCACGAGCTTGCTGAAGTGAGCTGCCATGACAATCTCTCATACATAAAGTGCTATATAATAATTTAAGTTATATTTAAAAAAAAATAAGCAATTTTCAAAATAAATATATAACTTGCAACTGTGATCCCATCCCAACACAATGAGTAATTATAAATGCAGTGTATGATATGGAACATAAATGGACGACAGCAACAATGGCCTACCATATCTCCTACTCTATTTTCTTCCATTGGAAATCCTTCAGAGCTCCAACCATGACCAGACTATGCAAGTGCAAACCGCACGTTCACGGAACTTTACCTCCATCGGTGCAAGCCGATTGCCAAAGGGTAGTGTCAACATCGGAAATACCGGAACCCTCTGAAACTGCATCCTCACCTCTTCTTTTCCCTAATACTTCTAGTATAACCAGATTCGAAGACGACTATTTCCTGTAATGAATACGGATTAAGAACACAATGTAGATCAAACTAGCTTCTCCCTCTCTAACCAGGAAGTAAATAGAACGGGTTGTTCTGGACATCTGGTCATATGGGATGTGTATATCTACGTGATAAAGAACACTACACAAGCTAACCATAGTTGCTCTAACTGGCAACACTTTGTAATGTAGGCCAAGCAATTTCATAGTCTGTGTAGCCACGAACGAGAAATCTGTACAATTCTTTCGGCAACCATGGTTATAGGGGTTATGAAACTGTCCTTCATGGCCACGAAGATAACCGCGAATGGCATTTGATACTTCGTTAGTGGTGATATTCCGAGCTGTCTACATTAGAGATAAAGACCCAGAAAAGTTTAACAATACAAGTCGAATCATCTTAAATAGAAAGGGGAACAACTTGCTTTCAGTCTTAATCGAAATCAATTTTGCCATTTCTCCATTCCTTAACCAGCCTTAAAATCTTTAAATAGTTCAGAGAAACAAGGTTAAAAGTAGGAAAGTGGACTCTTCATTTACCTGGAATGCCTGTATTATGGTCAAAGTTGTTGCAGGAATCAAAATCACAGCATCCAAAACAGGAATGCCACAATACCCAGATGATGATCAATCACGAGATGAATCCATGTTTTACCAGCAGAAAATGCAGGTACTGCTGTTCAAATCCCTAATCACTCAAACAAAACTATTAAATAAGTTGAATATAAACTAATTTGATCTCAATCAAAAAGGTGAGGACGAGTACAGGCTTATTTAATCCACATACTTTGAACTGCAACAAATGCACCAATGAATAGTCAAAGTTCCCATGCAAATGAAAAAAGATATCCGTTTGTTTCTCTGCACGTGCACAGGAAGTAAGCAGATAAGATGGGGGCAACAGGAAAATTAAAAATCAGTCAGACTGCTGTAGCAGTAGCCTATTGTTTAAATTATCCCGTAGGAAACAAAGTGAAAAATTGGGGCTAAAATAGTTAGTTTCTAACGAATCATTGAAGATGCTAAAGATGGAATGGAATGGGATGCAGCATTAATTTGAAAGCTGGGCAACTGGAATGGATTGGGTGGCCTAGACCTCCATATTAGCCTTCAATTCAACATCTAACAATATTACCAAATGGTACATAGTGACTTCAATATCATACATAAATACTCTTATAGACACTAATAATAACATCTTCTGAAAGGAAAATAACTATTTAAGAGTCACGGAAGGAATATGATTTTTCACACTCCGGGAATGAAAAACAAGAGTGATTACCACCTATTCCTAGATGAGTTTCTGAGCATATCTGCACTAGTACATGATAGCAATTGCATCCAAGATATTGATCTCAAACAGATCCCTTGTATCTAGATGACATTCATTATATGGTTATCTCCCACTTTTAGCTCGAGACCAATTGCTTACCTTCCCAACGCAGTTAGATATCCATGGGCAATGGTAGTCGAACTGTTCAACACAGTGCTTACAGGTAGAGCAGTGCTGAGAACGAATAGGTCTTATTATCCGACAACAGAGAAATTCGTTCAAAGCAACATAGCAAGATAAGAATATTTATGTAGATATGCAATAGATGGTTAAAAGAAAGGTTCATCGGGAAACCTTGCAGGTAGGGCGAAGCTGATCCCAGTTCCCTGTCCATACTGACAAGTTGTTCAGATCAATATTCAGCAACGGATCCTATCAAATTGAGAATATAATAAAGGTTCAATTCAAGTAAAATAATAGCAAAACTGAAGAGTTTTAAAATCTTTCCTTTTAATTTCTCTCGCATCCTTTCGAATGAATTTTAAAAAGGCGAGTTTGCTCTGTTACAGGCCACAATCCTATGGTTAATTGATCAAACTAGAAAAAAACTCCCCAAGTCACACCTAAGTACATAACATACGAATTAAGAAATGAAACATGAATGAAAGATGTGGCGGAAACTTAATTCATGATTCTAACAACCGAGTAGATGCCATGCTTTATTACGTACAATTTGAATGCCATCCTTTCAGCTGCCTTTCAAGTCATACCAGACTAATTATACAACCAAACTACCCAAAAAAAATTCTGCATCTCCAAAGCTAGACCTTTTATACAGCCTGGCCCGGCCTTCAAACTCTTTATTTATTGCATAATAATGGCTAAGCTAGAGAACTTTTAGTCCCTCCTTTCTCCTTCTAATAGGGTAATAGTGATTCAAAAGAAACCATAATGGACTGTCCATTTCAGGCACGTTTAAACCTAAAGTTCACTGTGTGCTAAAAATAAATATACTATGTGCACCAGGACCTCAAGATTTCTGCTTTTTGTGCCTAACCGATACAGCAATCTCCACGGATCTCAAGAGCTTTTATCATTCCTATCCATTGTTGATGTTTAAAGTTTATAACCAATTGCACAGAAGCTCTCGTACCTCTGTTTCTTCATATCCTTCCAATCTTCTAGATTTTTTTATATAACCTGGATCATTTCTGCAGAGAAAAGAAAGAAATCAAGAAAAAATATAAAAATAATTTAAACAAGAGTCAAAGTTTGTTTTAATCAGATAATGATTTCATTTATAGGTCACAAATTATGAATATCATAAAATGGTCACCAAGTAGTATTCATATATAGATTCATATTTGTCAAATGTGCCATTTGTTTTCAAACATTCAAAAGCACCATACAAGCAAAGCCACATCTAAACTTCTATTCAACAACGCAACGTGCTCTATGAACATATAGTTGAAAGAGAAACATAATGATGACACATAAGACTAGATTACCAAAAGTTTATTCAATTATATTTCATGCACCATGCTCCAAAAAACTACATCGAACTGCCTATATATGCAAGTAGAAAACCAAAAACTTAAAACAAATACGTGAACTCACCTCAATGAACATAAAGCCAGAGCATAACAATTACCTACTACACCTGTAGAACATAACCAATGAAGCAATACCTAGAGAAAAACCAATCCATCCCCAAAGTCCAATAATGGCAGTTACCTTTGGAAGACTTGAAGCTACATGCAATTTAAAAGAATTATTCACGATCAATGGCAAAAAACAAACAAGTCCATTACAGAATGTTTAATATCATAGTCTACTCACTAGAACGAACTGAGTTGATGAAGAGGATAATTAGAACGATGACAATGCTAAATAATATAGGAGCCTAACCAAATTCCCCCATCTTCCCACTGCGAATTCTGTCCACCAATCGTTTGCTATTAGATCTGTCTGCTTTAGACTGAAAAAAAAAATTCAAGACAGAATGAGAAAATTAGACAGCCACAAAATCTACAAGGTAACAAAGGTTAAAAGAAGGAGATATCAAACAGAACGGTTTGAGAATTTAATACAAATACTGAGTAAACCATCCCTGTGAACTCTGACTGAAATTAGAAATTGGTTTAGAGACTACAAGATCCCTGATGGAAACCAGCTAACAAGTTTGGTCTTGGCAACAAGGCAGCAAGCAGTGTATTCGATTTGTTTCATTTTCCCTACTCGAGTGCCTCTGAACTTATTCCAGTTTCTGCTCTCTTATGATGCATGATGGCAGGAATATGCTCTTAAGGTCATTACTGAGACTAATGAGTCTTGGGCTAAACTTGTCAAAAGATCGATTCCCGCCGGAGAACTTTCACTCATATAACTACTGCCCGGAACATTAGAGGCAATGCTTTCAAGCTTCAACTTCACAAAAAACGTGTTTTTCGCCTTTGGAAAGCATGTCTTGGTACTCATATGACTTTGATACCAATGCGTTTATATCTGCTTATTATTTGAACACATTAGAATTCCATTTTTAGAAAACCGGGATTGAATTTCACATCCATATGGTTGTTCTGAATTGGATAAGTTCTAGCAGTAGGCTTCATGTTGATAATGCTCAAATATTGGAAATATGCTAGTTAGGTTATTCCCAGGGTTTTAAAAAACAGTCCGTGATTGCGATTTCAGTCGCGATATAGCGGTTTCGTCGCCGTCCGAGTTACCCGCGATGGCCTCAATAGCGTCCGCGACAACCGCAATAGCGCCCGCGACGGCCGCAATCATGGTAAATCCGAAATAACCGAAAACGCAACCGTGACCGCGATTTGAAACCCTGGTTATTCCACTAGTATATGCTCAAAATT